TTTGCCCCTCCCCCACCACTTGTGCTCTCTCTCTCTCAAATAAATATTTTTAAATGTTTTTAAAAATAAAGTTAATGAATAGAAAAGAATATACCATGCCAACGCTAATCAAAAGAAAGCTGGAGGAGCCATATCAATATCAAAATAGACTTTAGGGATAAAAAAGGTATATAACATAATAAGCAAGAGGTCAATTCATCAAGGAAACACATATTTCTAAAATGTGTATGGAATTAACAACAGGGCTTCAAACTACATGAAGCAAAAACCAATAGAACTGGAAAAGAGAAATAAATCCACAAGAACAATTAGAGACTGCAATACTTTTCTCTTAGTAATCAACAGAACAAAATCAGTTGGCAAAATTAGTAGATAAAATAAGTATATAAAAAATCTGAAAAAAACAGCCTCAAAAAACTTGAAGTAATTTGTAAAACACTGTGCTCAACAACAGCAAAATACAGTCTTTTTCAAGTACACAGGAAATATCCAACAAGTCAGAACATATTCAGAGTGATAAAACAAAACAATTAATTTTAAAAAACCAAAATCATATAAAATATGTGCTTAGACCATAACTGGATTAAACCAGAAATTGGTTACAGAAAGTTACCTAAAATATTCCTAATATATGGAACATAACTAACATACTTTTAAATAAACCATGCATCAAAGAGGAAGTCAAAGGGAAACTAGATGTTTTTAATAGAATGACAACATATTAATAATTTTTGGTTGCAGATAAAAGTTAATGGTATTTTTATATACTAACAAGCAGCAGTTTCAAATTGAAAGTTATAAAAGTTCTATTTACAATAGAATCCAAAAAAAGGAAATACTTAGGTATAAATCTAACAAAATATGTATGAAACTTTTATGCTGGAAACTACAAAACAAAACACATAGACAAAAATCCAAGCACTAAATAAAGCAATATACCATATTCATGAATTGAAAAACAAAAGTTATTAACATGTCATTTTTTTAAATTTTTATTAACATATAATGTATTATTTGTTTCAGGGGTACAGGTCTGTGATTCATCAGTCTTGCACAATTCACAGCACTCACCATAGCACATACCCTCCCCAATATGCATCACCCAGCCACCCCATCCCTCCCAACCCCCTCCACTCTAGCAACCCTCAGTTTGTTTTCTGAGATTAAGAGTCTCTTATGGTTTGTCTCCCTCTCTGGTTTTGTCTTGTTTCATTTTTCTCTCCCTTCCCTTATGATCCTCTGTCTTGTTTCCAAATTGATCTATGGATTCAACATAATTCCAATCAAATTCCCAGCATAATTTTTTAATCAAAAGCTTACTCTAAAAATTATATGGAAAAGCAAATAAACTAGAATAGTCAAACAATTTTTTAATAATAAAGTTGAAGGGCTCACACTACCTGATTTCAAGACCTATTATACAGCTATAGGAATCAAGACAGTGTGATACTGGAGAAAGAATACAAATATAGATTAATGGGAAAATAGAGAGTCTAGCACTAGACACACATATATAGATAATATATTTCTGACAAAGATACCAAAGCACATAATGAAGAAAGGGTAGTCATTTCTACAAATGAGGCAAGAATGATTAAACATCTATACTGAGCGTGGGAGGGAAACACCTCCATCCATACCTTATATCATATAAAAAATTACCTCAAAATGGATCAAAATGGATATCCCTAAATGTAAAACCCAAAACTCTAAAATTTCTAGAATAAAACACAAAAAAATCTTTGTGACCCCAGGCTACATGAATATTTCTTAGAGATGATAACGAAAGCAGAATTCATTTTAAAAAAAATTGATGAGTTGGGTCTCATGTAATTAAGAATCCCTGTGTTTTGAGGGACACTGTTAAAAGAATAAAAAGTCAAGCCACAAAACTGGCAGAAAATATTTGTAAATCATAGACCAATAGAAAAGACCACAGAAAAGTAACTCATACTCAGAATATAAACATAACTTTCAAATCTCAAAATTAAAAAAGCAATTCAATAAAAGTGGACAAAAGATTTGAAGATTTTACTAAAGAAGCTACACAGATGATAGATAACTACATGAAAAGATGCTCAATGCCATTAGTTATTAGGGAAATGCAAATTAAAATCAAAATGATATGTTAAAAACCTAGGAAAGGCCTGATACTTTATCTTACTTGCACAGCAACAAGTTAGCCTGCTACTGTTTTATGGTTGTTGGCGAAAGAGGCAAGACTTCTGGTCAGAGACAAAGGACAGTTTATGCCAGCACAACATACAACATGAACACCACATTCACGTCAGTCCCCCACTGTCCAAGTACTATAGAGGTGATGCAGAGACAGGTGCAGATAGATGCTGTGCATGCAGTGGGTTTATGTCACAGCCAAGGAACACCAAGCTTGCAAAATCTCTACCATTTGCAAGCAAATCTGCCTAAGCTTCACCCTGAAGAGAGACATTATCTTTATTAGACTGAGTAGCAAACAAATCTCTCTACTCTGAAGAGAGACACTATATCTTCCAAGGTTCTTTGTCATACAAACATTCTTGAAAAGATAGTCCAAAATAAAAGGCTGTTTGTGGCTTTGCTCATAGGACATGCTAAAATGCAGAAGACCAATGGAGAGTTATCTCCCAACGTGAGCTATCACTATACATGTATGAGAATGGCTAAAAAAAATTTTTTTTTGATAATAACATTACTGCAAAGTGCTGGTGAGGATATGAGTGACTAGAAATCTCATACATTACTTTGGGGAATGCAAAATGGTACTTCAGAAAACAGTAGAATTTTTTTTATAAAATTGAACCTATACCTCCCATATGACCCAACAACCCCACTCATAGGTATTTACCTAGTTGAAGTGAAAACTGATATTTGCACCGAAGCCTGTTTTGCAAATGTTTATAGCAGCTTTATTTACATTGCTAAAAACTGGAAACAACCCAAATATTCCTCAGCTGATGAATGGATCAACAAACTATGGTGCATTCATACAATGGAATACTACTCAGCAATTAAAAAAAAAAAACAGTGAACTACTGAAACACACAGCAACATGGATGGATCTTAAATGCATTACTGTAAGTGCATTATAAAAGAAGTCAGACTCAAAAGGCTACCATCTGCATATTTCCATTTATATAGCATTCTGGAAAAGACAAAATGATAGAGAGAAAATATACCAGCAATTGCCAGGAGCTGGAGATAGAGAAGAGAAATGAGTACAAAGGGAATTGGGGGAATTTTTTGAGGTGATGGAACTGTTTATACCTTGATTATGGCAGTGGTTACAAGACTGTGTGTTAAAACTCACAGAACTGTATGCTAACGAGAATGAATTTTACCATATGTAAATTATACCTTAAAAAGGGGGAGGAAAAAAAGAGAAAGAATATGTATAAACTCTAGAATCAGACTCCCTGAGCTGTGCCTCTTTCTAAATATGGATCTTGCATATATTCTCAAACATTCTAAGCATCAGTCTTCTCAACTGTGAAGTGAGAAGAATAATAGTATCTGCCTCTTAGAGTTGTTAGCTTTCTTTGTTGCTGTTCTATCATTAATTATTATTTGGTGTCCTGTTATATACCTAACATTGTGCTTTATGTTAAGGATACAAAAATTAATCTATGGTGTGGCCCCTGCCTTCCAAGAGGCTACAATCTAGTGAATAAACATCCCCGAATAAACAAATGAACACAATTGTTTTACTGCCATTAGATTATTACAATTAAAAAAATTTTAAAAACCCAATGTTAAGCAACTATTAAATCAAATTCATGTTAATAATTTTAAATGTAGTTCAACCTTAGCAAGACTTTTTTAAATAGTAATAGAAATTTCAAGTCAAATCTAAGAAATCCTATTGGTTGCCCAGATATTTCTAGAAATATCTTCACAGATAATTTTTAAAGACTTGAAATTGCATTTATTTATAGGCTTATCAGATTCAGAAAGAATATCAGCCTACTCTGTTTTTACCAATTTATTTTAGTATTTCAACATTAATTTAAATGAGTATCAAAAAAGTACTATAAAAAGAAAATGAAATCATGCTTCCTCATTTTCTAAGGCTTCATGTATCTGGATAAAATGTTTCCCTAAAAAGATAAAGCTAAGAGGAATCACTGAAAATGGATGAAGATGCTGTGAAGTATTCCGGAAAATTCTGCTCCCTCCAAAAAGAAAAGAATTAATGACCTCACCTTTATGTCACATAAAAGATCCAATAATCTTGGTGAGAGATGCATTACAACCACATGTCACATACCCACACCCAAGACCTTTCTTGGCATATCAGCCACCTTTGTCCCCTCAACCAAGTGGAATGTCCTTAGTTCAGGCTTGAGCATTAGAATCCTGAAAAATTCATGCCAGAACATACTACAGCTACTTTTACAGAGCTAATTACATTTCACTATATTCAAGGTATCTGACAGGATAAAGCTCTAAAGACAGTTTGTTTTAAATGTGTCCTTTCCACTCAAGGCTTAAAGAAAATCAAGCTATTCTTATTTCAAAGATTTCCTATCTACTGTCATCTCATATCACGTCTCAGTGAAACACTGTGAAAAGTGTTCTTGGAGTGTTATCAACTAAAAATTTTGCAACAAGTATGGCTTTTTGCACAGGATTTCACACTGAATAATATAGTAACATCTAGAGATTCCTAACCTAGTGAAAAAAAAGAAAACATTTTAAAAGATATTTTAAAAAGCATGACATATGCACAAGGGCTTCTCAAACAGAACCTGCAGACGTGTTTTCACCATTTTACTTGCTCTGAACAATTGTTCTGAAATATGGACCCCACAAATACGGATCTCCCAAAGTTTTATATGTTGAAAATATTCCTGAGGAGTACATCTCTCAATAAGAAGCCACCATGTGGAAAGGTATAAGGAGAGGAAAAAATAAACTTCATATGATAACTAAAGTCAAAAAAATATAATTAGTAGAAATGTCCCTTGGAAGAACCCAGAGAAAATGATCACTGGCTACCTTACCTTGCTTTTTTCCATTAACATTTTCTAAAATACCAGAGAGCTGGCTGTCAAAGCTGTGTTGAAGGTCACTCCTTTGTTTTTCAAGGTGGTATTCTTCCTCAGCAATAGAAGAAAGCACATGTGGTGGCTTTTGGTCATCAAGGGTCTGATTGGGCCACTGGGACATTATGGAACATGAGTCCTTTGCATGTTGGCTAAGTCTGGGGCTCGAACTTTGGGCAGAGTCCTGCAAATCCCTATTACGATAGGAGAAATGATCCACTTCAAGAAACAAGGGATTTGCATCCTCTTGACGCCAATCATTGCCTTGTTCTTCATCTTCAAAGTAAGTTTCCTGAATCTGAGTATCATCTAAGTCCTGGTCTAGCTTTTCACTCAATTTAGAGTCTTGTTTGCTTAAGTTAACCAGCGAAGCAGATAGCGTATCTCCTGCTTGCTGGAGAGCTTCATAAACCCGAGATATCCAGGAAGATAGAGGCTGGAAGAAGTTCTGAGCATCCTGAGACGCCATGGCCAAAACCATGGCCAGCTATCTGATGTCTACAAGTCCACTTGTTCAGCTCCTTCAGTACTCTGGATTTAATGTGAACTACAGAACAAGCATGATGACAAATTAAATTGAAGGTCTCTTAATGGCTGTGAATAGTTCACTCTCAAAACTTCTCAGCTGAAACAGAGGAAAGAAATACTTACACCTATTACAGTAACAACCTCAGATCCATTATCAGATACCTATAATCAATGTCAAACAACATTCAGGGACAAAAAGAGATCATCATTGAAATCTGAAAGTAGCTAAATAAAAATTACTGTGGAAGTCTAAATGTAGATTACTTCAATGCCTATTCACCTGCTCAGGCATGTGCAAAACTTCCATCGGCAGTAATGGGCTCTATTCATGTGGACTGAGAGAAGTCTATCCCCATAGACCATACTTAACAGTGTGAAAAGGATAAATGACTCTTCATTAAGAGGCAGTTGGATATGACATTTCAAAATACAAGAAAAGTTGGATGCTTCATCTACAAACCTGCAGATCCCAGCGAGCAGGCTAATAAGCATCTCTGCTTCATGACACAAAGATTTATCCTTTCAAAGGAAATGTGTGCCAGGAATTAAAAAGCTTTTAACAGATCTTAAAGTAAGATTTAATATTTTTATGCAATTTCTACAAATCATATCTATTCTTGGGGACCAAAGAACCACTGAAAAACAAAGCAGCAAGGGGAGCATGCAGCTTACTGGAGACATGAATCTAGCATCCTATTGCCTTTGTTTGTGTTCTAACTTCCCGAAGACAACCCTCCACAACCTAGAAGACTCCTGAGAGAACCTCCTGCCCCCACGATTTACAACCTGAAAGAGGCAGCTATAGGACATTGACAGAGCAACAGGGCACAAAGATTCTAGAGCTGAACGTCTATACTTTTATACATATACATGCATACAAACATTACACATATATACATTTGCATGTGTATGTGTACTGTGTGTGAGTGTGTGTGTGTGTGTGTGTGTATATATATATATATCTTATTGCCCTTACAATGCTCATGAACAGCTCAGGATGAATGCTATAAATGACCACAGAGCCTAAATTCACTGCTTGCACTTAATTACCCCATCTCTTTATAGCAATAGCTTCCTTCTGACTCAGTCTACCAACACTCCTATATGTTTCAGCCTTCTTGTCCTCCAGCTACTGCAATTGATAGGATTACCTACATTTTCCTGAAAATGTCTTCTTAGCTTTTTTGGGGGGGCTTTTGTAATAGCCATTCATATATACATTGATTCATCAATAAACAAATATTGATAAGTACCTATTAAGTGCTGGGCATAATGCCAGGTGTGAGGTAACCCTGACGTCTGTCCCCATGGGGCCCATATTCCAGTTAAAGGGAAACTGAGCTCTCTGCACTTTCCCTTTATGCTAAATAATTCATGTGTTTGTCTTTCAGGCTCTGTCTTGTCTTCCCATCAACTACATATATGCAACCACACATTGTCCTATGGTTACTCCTCCTGCCCCTTCATACTCAGCTGGGAGAGCCGACCCATCCATAATCTCAGCACTTTTTTTAACTCCAAAATATACATCTCCAGCCCATAGTTCAATCCCTTTATACCGGCTTAGATCTCTGGTTATCTAAGCTAGTGGTTCACAGAATTTGTATGAGAATCACCTGGCAAGCTAATAAAAAAACAGAGGTTCAGGTGGGTTGAAGGAATAGGCCCTATCTTTTTATTTTTGTCAAGTTCCTCAGATGATTCTGACACACACCAAAATTTGAGAAATGCTGATCTAAGGAAAGAGCTACACTTGGGTGTCTCACCAAAATCTCAAATTCGCCACTTTTACTACTACAAGTGTTCAACACTCTAGACTCACAATTGTGATTTTTTCTCTTCAACCTTGCCCCCTTCTATTCCTTCCATTCCAAGTTCTGCTACTTTTAGGTCTATGCAGACTCCTCTGTTGTGTTTTGTACAGTGATCACCTTTCCAACACTCTAATTTCCCCAGAAATTACATACATAGCTGGTTCCTGTCTCAAGTCTTCCCCAGCCTCAATCCATCCTTCTAGGTTTGCTCACCATAACCTAACCTTCTAGTAGGTTTATTGCCTGGCACCTCCCCTAGAATAGACATTCCTGGAGGGCAGGGATTGCATGTTTTATTCTCTAGTTTATCCACAGTGCCTAGAAGTGTGCTAAGTATGTAGTCAATTCTCAATAAATGAAGTAATGAGTGCTATTTAATATTGTGCATATTGTCTAGCATATAGTATATACTCAAATTTGCTAAATTTATGAATAGACCTCAGAATTGCTAAAAAAACACCTTAACATTACTATATTAATCCCCTGCTTGGTAGTATTAAAGGGTTCTTTCAGCATTTCTTCCACTCCATTTCACCACCCACAGATTTTTTGTTTGTTTCTCCACAAATACTGTGCCTAAATTGTGCTCCAGAAGATCGTAGACCTAGAAAGTTCCCTGAGAAATCATTGGGTTTAGCTTCTACCACTGTCCTTTTGGTACTTGAAATTTTTAAGACAGAAATTGCATATCTTCCTTAATAATCCTTTCTATTGTTTTATTACACAGAGAAAACTTTGTTTCCATATTCAATCTAAGACCCTTTAATTTAAGCCAGCTTTTTCTTATCCAAACTTTGAACTAGTAACAGCTCATGTTCTTGGTCTCATATCTCTTTCTTCTGTAATCTCTGTCCATCAAAGCCTCATGGCAATTTTTCTAAAAAAAATAAAGCTTATATCACTCCCCTAGTTTAAAAAGAAAATCACAAAAGAACCCACACTATGGTTTTCCTATTACCTATAGTGCAGAATTTGAGCACTGGCAGTCCATCTGTCAAAATCACCATTCACTTACATTTACTGACATGGTTTTTAAAAAATTAATTTTGATGCCTCCAGTTCACTACAGTCCTCATCTCTCTCTGTTATATGTACCCACTTGCTCCATTCATTTCTGTGTAGCCTGCCTGACCCCTGGAAGCATCTGAATTTCCAAGCCCTACATTATATGATAAAGTTCACATTCTCTACTATGGCATACAAGAGGAGAGATGCTCAAAAATGCACAATCAACATTGCCTGACTGACCTCAGTGCTGGAGGGGTCCTAGAGGCCTCCTGCAAGTTGCCAACTCTTTAACTGCTGAAATCACTGGGTGTGAGGACTTCTGGGAGGTGCAACAGGACCATAGAGGGGAGAGGGTCTCAGATCAGTGGCTGTTTATCAACCAGTTTGGAAATAATTCAACATATTCACAACTCACAGAGCCTTGTCCTGACAGAATGTCTCGCTCTGTACGAGATGTTCCCAATAACACTGCCCCACAGTGACAACTTGGCCCTTCTTCACCACCCCTCATTGTAAAGTCTTCTGTGCCTGTCACACTCACTAACACACTAAGCATTTTTCATAGCAAATGTGCTCGTCCCTGACTTCTGTTTGCTCTGCCCAGATGCCTTCTCTCCCTACCCTGCCTGGTAGATACTTAGTAGTTCTTTTTTTATTTTTTTAATTTTATTTTATTATCTTACGTTAGTCACCATACATTATATCATTAGTTTTTGATGTAGTGTTCCACGATTCATTGTTTGTGTATAACACCCAGTGCTCCATTCAATATGTGCCCTCCTTAATACCCATCACCGGGCTAACCCATCCCCCCACCCCCTCCCCTCTAGAACCCTCAGTTTGTTTCTCAGAGTCCATTGTCTCTCATGGTTTGTCTCCCCACTCTGATTCCCCCCCTTCATTTTTCCCTTCCTACTTTCTTTTTTTTAACATACAATGTATTATTTGTTTCAGAGGTACAGATCTGTGATTCATCAGTCTTAACACAATTCACAGTGCTCACCATAGCACCTACCCTCCCCAACGTCTATCACCCAGCCACCCCATCCTTCCCACCCCCCACTACTCCAGCAACCCGCAGTTTGTTTCCTGAGATTAAGAATTCTTCATATCAGTGAGATCATATGATACTTGACTTTCTCAAATTGACTTATTTCACTTAGCATGACCCCCTAGTTCCATCCACATCATTGAAAATGGCAAGATTTTGGGTTTTTTGATGGCTGCATAAAATTCCATTGTGTGTGTGTGTGTGTGTGTGTGTGTGTGTGTGTGTGTGTACACATCTTTTTTATGCATTCATCTGTTGATGGACATCTTGGCTCTTTCCATAGTTTGGCTATTGTGGACATTGCTGCTATAAACATTGGGGTGCACATACCCCTTTGGGTCACTACATTTGTATCTTTGGGGTAAATACCCAGTAGTGCAATTGCTGGGTCATAGGGTAGCTCTATTTTCAACTTTTTGAGGAACCTCCATACTGTTTTCCAGAGTGGTTGCACCAGCTTGCATTCCCAACAACAGTGTAGGAGGGCTCCCCTTTCTCGACATCCTTGCCAACATCTGTCATTTCCTGACTTGTTAATTTTAGCCATTCTGACTGGTGTGAGGTGGTATCTCGTTGAGGTTTTGATTTGGATTTCCCTGATGCCGAGTGATGCTGAGGACTTTTTCATGTGTCTGTTGGCCCTTTGGATATCTTCTTTGGAAAAATGTCTGTTCATGTCTTCTGCCCATTTCTTGATTGGATTATTTGTTCTCTGGGTGTTGAGTTTGATAAGTTCTTTATAGATTTTGGATACTAGCCCTTTATCTGATATGTCATTTGCAAATATCTCTCCCATTCTGTCAGTTGTCTTTTGGTTTTATTGACTGATCCTTTTATTGTGCAAAAGCTTTTTATCTTGATGAAGTCCCCATAGTTCATTTTTGCCCTTGCTTCCCTTGCCTTTGGTGATGTGTCTAGGAAGAAGTTGCTGTGGCTGAGGTCGAGAGGTTGCTGCCTGTGTTCTCCTCTAGGATTTTGATGGATTCCTGTCTCACATTTAGGTCTTTCATCCATTTTGAGTCTATTTTTGTGTGTGGTGTAAGGAAATGGTCCAGTTTCCTTCTTCTGCATGTGGCTGTC